TAAAATTCTGAAAATTAGCGAGAGTTAAAAGTGGTAAAAATGAAGGTTTTAGTTTTCGACGGTTATGCCAGCGCACGTCAAGGGAATCGCATCAGTAACATAGTTGCTGGAAAAAGGAAGAAATTTTGCGTATGACACAGCTTGCCCTGCCCACAGTGATCGCCTGCCCTTACTTTACGAGATTTAAGGATAGATAAAAGCAACGGAAAGAACATCTGCACCGAACTAATACAATCACAGATTTACTGCTTTCTGTAATCCCTAGTTGCCGAGAAATGGTAATTTCAACATGAAAAACCTTAACGATAAAAGCTGAAATTGGTATTTCTCAAAAACTACCGCTTCCAGGAAATTGAAAATTCACCAATGTACTTCTGAAGACCTATAGTATACATCTACCTATGTGAGAACAGCACAGCATTGCTTTTGTGGAAGCTTGAAAATCTTAGTTTACTCGGTTTCTAGTACAGGAACAAACACAGCAACGGTTTATGTGAATGTTCATTGTGGAGTGTACATGCGTGAACGAGAATCTGGTAAGTCTTCTTTGAACAAAGATATAAAAAATTTGAATTTTTTCGGGCTCCTGAAAGTTTTTAAATCTTGTCTTCTAAGTCATGATGTACTGCAGCTGGTGCAAACACTTCCATGCCACCTTATAAAGCTTGCTTTGCTTTATTACACAGCACCTGCATTTTAATCAGAAGTGATAACCATGTGACCTATAACAGTAAAAAGTCAAAAACAAAAAAAAGAACTCATGAGACAGCCTAGTGGATAAAAGTCCTTTATTCTTTTTAGGTCTATGCAATAGAAAACTTCGGCATACTGTGGATGTTTCTTCGAGCAGGGACCCCGTCCTGAGTCAGCCACACTACTGCTACATTTTTCACAAAGGAAAACTAAAAACGAAGTTTGTAGCAGTGTGATACACTTGCCACGGCTCCACTTGTTAGCAACTTGAACGCCACTCCGTTTCTTATAATGTTTCACAGACGCAGATTAGACAAAATGAATGCTAGTGAATTAGTGAAGTTAAGTCATTCGTACCGTTACCAGCAGTCTAGTCACTAAACGTTTAAGGTGACTTTCTGAACTGGGGAGGGGGGCTGGGGGCCGGCGAGAGAGGGGGGGGGGGGAAGGGGGAAGGAGATGAGAAAGGGAAGTATTGAAACGCGAGGGCGGCAGGGCGTTATATGACCGTTATTTGACCGTCCTGTGCCTCACCCCTTGCACGACCCAGGATATAATAAGCGTGCATGCTAATGATCTCAAACAAATTCTTGGAGCGCGGGAAAAAGGTGTGGAAATAGGAATATAATAATTTGTCATTACCACGATAATCAGCAAATGTGGAAGAGGCAGGACGGCCTAGCTTTTGAGTTAAGCGAATCCTTGGTATTTGTTTTGTAAAGCTTGCTTCGCTTTATCAATTACTTGCTGGCTTACCCGGCTTTGTCCGGCCCTGTAAACCTTATAATGAAGGCCCCACCCCTACATTTGTACAACCTTTCCCTGTGCCCACTTCTACATGCCCATATCCTACTCTCGCTCACCTAGTAATCAGCATGATCGCTTCTCCCCCGTGCCAACTCCCAGCCCCTAGCTCAAACTTCGCAGAAACTCGATAGCCTATGGTGCCTGCCCCGCCCGAAGTGCATGTGTGCCAAGTTCGATCCGGATCGGTCCAGAAATAAAAAATTTCTATTTGGAACATACGTACAGATAGACACACAACACACAGACACACAGACATACAAACATTCAGCTTTATATATAAGAAGATATCCTAAGTCTGCAAGGAGAACAAAAACAGCTTGATTTATTTATCAAGGAGTTTACTTTTGGGACACCTAATAGAATCATCATCGTCAAAACCTCTTGTCAATCTAATTAATCAATAGTTTCTTAGAAGTTGTAGATAAAGCAAGACGGCCTGCAAAGGTGCCTGAAATTGTTTTCCTATCACGTAAGATAGCTTGTCTTTCCCCAAATCTTTGATACAGGCTGACCGAAGAAATGATGTGACATTCATAAAGGACCTGATACTTTGTTGTGGCGCAGAGCAGAAACGACATTGATAATAACCTGAAATAAGCAATCAACGAGTTAGGTTTTAAACAAGTTGTGTATCAGCACATTCTTAACATCAAATTTTGCTACCTTTCACTACAGAATTTTTCGAAATAGAGCTTCCAAACGCGTTCGATTTTTACTTCAATTTTTTAATCATATTCTATAATACTTATCGTGACAATAAGGAGTGAAACAACGAAGCTAGGAATATTGTAACTGGAAGTCCACTAACAAAAAATTTTGAAAATGTCATAGAAGGCTTGCCAAAAAAATGTTGCGATAACTCATACAACAGCATAATAGTCTCAATACTCTTCTCCAGTTGTACTCAAAATTATATTTGCAGTATGAAATATGTTTTTTTGTTGCAGAGAAGTGAATAAGATGGAAAGGCCAAGTCATTTTGATTTTCAGGTTCCGAAGAAGGCGTTGACCCCGAAACGTGAGCGTGAGTCAATAATGATTAACTTCAAATCTTGGTCTTAGCTGAAATGTACATCAACAAGTGCTCATCATGCCAAGATTCAAGGACGATCAAACAATCCATATATTGAGCCTTGTACAACAGCGTAGAAACGATGTCGAATAAAGATACTCCAAGCAGCACAGAACGCCTCGAAGTTTCTTTATTCGGTTAATTTCATAAGAAATTCACTCTAGACTCTCTTGCTCACAAGGCTCTTTAAGAAATTTTGAAACACTCCTGAACTCCTGTTAATGCGATTGACGTTTCATTTACAATATTCTCTTTTTTTTCTGGGCTCTGCATCAGACCACGCAAAACGATAACCTCATAGCCTTCACACTCAAAAAGGTAACTCGCCCCGTAAGCCACCTATGCCAAGCTCTGCACTGTGTGCTCAATTTCTGATCACTCTTTATATTAAGGCCTGTGCATACAAGCGGTGAAAGGTCTATTTGGGGTTGAAAGTAATCCCAATCATCATCGTTTGCCATTTTGACTTGAAATCGGCATAGCACTTTTTCATGCAGGCGGTGTGCTTTTCTGACGATACCTTTTCAAAATCGCATCTATCAAGGCACATCTAAAATATCATTATCAGAATAAGGTAAAATATACTGATAAGATTATTTTTACCAAGCTGCTGTTGACAAACTCTATTTTTACAGCAGTGATAAAACGTCTCCCAGTCCTTCTCTGGGTAACACAGGCACACCAGAAGAGCCAAGAAGTATACTTTCATGAATCTCATGTCGGAATCTAGAATAATGCTTAATTGTTTTAGGTCAATAAAAGCATAGATTGAAGACGATATAAGCGGAGAACAAAATCCAGTTACGAACATCGGAGGAGGATGGAAGAAACAGGAGAGGTATGGTGAAGTCAGCGAGCATTCGAGAGAAATTTGTGCTTTGTAAATATATTATCATGATAGATTGAAACGAGCGACAGCAAAGCCGTCATGGGGAGAAAAGAATGAAGTTGCTTGACACAGGCACACTTATATTTGTTTGTGGCGCTTTCATTTGGAACGAAAATCATCAAAAGCCGAAATATCGTTAAGCGTTCTAATATTCTAATCAGGTGGAATAAAAATGATGCAAAAATTATATAGCGAAAACAAATCGCATTTCAAGCGGCCGTTATGCGTTTCTTAACAGTGATTTCAAAATCACACATAGGATTTTTTTGAGAACTTTTAACAGCATTTACCTAATGTAAGCTCTACAACTAAAATGTTGAACACAAGCTGTAAATACTGTCGACATAACGAGGAGGGTGCAAACTTGTTGTGACTACGCAGTTTTATATCGTACTAGTTGGCAAACCCGGCTCCGCCCGGGCCTGTCAATAATATATTCGTAATCAGCATGCTCGATTACCCCCTGTGCCAACTCCTAGCCCTGTAGCTCAAATTTTGCAAAAAATCGATAAAATTGATATCGATCGATAACGAAAAGTAGCCTATGACACGCTGCCTGCCCCGAAGTATATGTGTGCCAAGTTTGGTCCAAATCGGTTCAAAAATAAAAATTCCTATTCCGCACATACGTACAGACATACAGACATACAGACATTCAGCTTTATATATAAGATAAAGCAAATATCATCTCAAGTATGTTACTTTCAAGAACGACTCATCATCAGATTGTGTAAGTTCGTTCGCACATCTATTTGGTTTTTACCTAATTTTGTGCTGCACCAAAATGCGTAAGTGCGTCTAAAAACTGTTATCGTGTTCTATCAAAATCGCTTCTTTATCCTCCTAAATTGGTGCGTTTGAAAAAAAGTCCAAGCCTTCAAATTAAAAGTTAAAGAGGTGAAAACTCCATTTTTGACAGCTATCTTACCTCGCCTTTTAAATAGGTGAGAATGTTGCAGATCAGCTTTAAAAATTTGCAACTTTATAAGAATTGTGTAGATCCCGTGCCCGTTCAGCTTTGCTAATTTTAATGCACGTATTAGCTTGGAAATCGAAAACTAGAGCTAGAAGTAGAGCGCATTAGGTTACTGTTAGAAGCTCTCAAAAAATCCTATGTGTGGTTTCAAACCGCTCTTAAGCAACGCATAGCGGCCGTTTGAAATGCGATTTGTTCTCGCTATAAAATTTTTGCAGCATTTTTGTTCCACCTGATTAGAATATTAGAACGCTTAGCGATATTTCGGCTTTCCGTGATGATTTTGGTTACAAATGAAAACGCGCTACAAACAAATATAAGTGTGCCTGTGTCAAACAAATTCATTCTTTTTTCCCCATGACGGCTTTGCTGCCGCTTGTTTCAATCTATCATTCTAGCATATTTACAAAGCACAAATTTCTCTCGAATACTCGCTGACTTCACCATACCTCTCCTGTTTCTTCCATCCTCCTCCGATGTTCTTTGTAACTGGATTTTGTTCTCCGCTTATATCGTCTTCAATCTATGCTTTTATTGACCTAAAACAATTAAGCATTATTCTAGATTCCGACATGAGATTCATGAAAGTATACTTCTTGGCTCTTCTGGTGTGCCTGTGTTACCCAGAGAAGGACTGGGAGATGTTTTATCACTGCTGTAAAAATAGAGTATGTCAACAGCACCTTGGTAGAAATAATCTTATCAGTATATTTTACCTTATTCTGATAATGATATTTTAGATGTGCCTTGATAGATGCGATTTTGAAAAGGTATCGTCAGAAAAGCACACCGCCTGCATGAAAAAGTGCTATGCCGATTTCAAGTCAAAATGGCAAACGATGATGATTGGGATTACTTTCAACCCCAAATAGACCTTTCACCGCTTGTATGCACAGGCCTTAATATAAATTGTGATCAGAAATTGAGCACACAGTGCAGAGCTTGGCATAGGTGGCTTACGGGGCGAGCTACCTTTTTGAGTGTGAAGGCTATGAGGTTATCGTTTTGCGTGGTCTGATGCAGAGCCCAGAAAAAAAAGAGAATATTGTAAATGAAACGTCAATCGCATTAACAGGAGTTCAGGAGTGTTTCAAAATTTCTTAAAGAGCCTTGTGAGCAAGAGAGTCTAGAGTGAATTTCTTATGAAATTAACCGAATAAAGAAACTTCGAGGCGTTCTGTGCTGCTTGGAGTATCTTTATTCGACATCGTTTCTACGCTGTTGTACAAGGCTCAATATATGGATTGTTTGGTCGTCCTTGAATCTTGGCATGATGAGCACTTGTTGATGTACATTTCAGCTAAGACCAAGATTTGAAGTTAATCATTATTGACTCACGCTCACGTTTCGGGGTCAACGCCTTCTTCGGAACCTGAAAATCAAAATGACTTGGCCTTTCCATCTTATTCACTTCTCTGCAACAAAAAAACATATTTCATACTGCAAATATAATTTTGAGTACAACTGGAGAAGAGTATTGAGACTATTATGCTGTTGTATGAGTTATCGCAACATTTTTTTGGCAAGCCTTCTATGACATTTTCAAAATTTTTTGTTAGTGGACTTCCAGTTACAATATTCCTAGCTTCGTTGTTTCACTCCTTATTGTCACGATAGGTATTATAGAATATGATTAAAAAATTGAAGTAAAAATCGAACGCGTTTGGAAGCTCTATTTCGAAAAATTCTGTAGTGAAAGGTAGCAAAATTTGATGTTAAGAATGTGCTGACACACAACTTGTTTAAAACCTAACTCGTTGATTGCTTATTTCAGGTTATTATCAATGTCGTTTCTGCTCTGCGCCACAACAAAGTATCAGGTCCTTTATGAATGTCACATCATTTCTTCGGTCAGCCTGTATCAAAGATTTGGGGAAAGACAAGCTATCTTACGTGATAGGAAAACAATTTCAGGCACCTTTGCAGGCCGTCTTGCTTTATCTACAACTTCTAAGAAACTATTGATTAATTAGATTGACAAGAGGTTTTGACGATGATGATTCTATTAGGTGTCCCAAAAGTAAACTCCTTGATAAATAAATCAAGCTGTTTTTGTTCTCCTTGCAGACTTAGGATATCTTCTTATATATAAAGCTGAATGTTTGTATGTCTGTGTGTCTGTGTGTTGTGTGTCTATCTGTACGTATGTTCCAAATAGAAATTTTTTATTTCTGGACCGATCCGGATCGAACTTGGCACACATGCACTTCGGGCGGGGCAGGCACCATAGGCTATCGAGTTTCTGCGAAGTTTGAGCTAGGGGCTGGGAGTTGGCACGGGGGAGAAGCGATCATGCTGATTACTAGGTGAGCGAGAGTAGGATATGGGCATATAGAAGTGGGCACGGGGAAAGGTTGTACAAATGTAGGGGTGGGGCCTTCATTATAAGGTTTACAGGGCCGGACAAAGCCGGGTAAGCCAGCAAGTAATTGATAAAGCGAAGCAAGCTTTACAAAACAAATACCAAGGATTCGCTTGACTCAAAAGCTAGGCCGTCCTGCCTCCTCCACATTTGCTGATTATTGTGGTAATGACAAATTATTATATTCCTATTTCCACACCTTTTTCCCGCGCTCCAAGAATTTGTTCGAGATCATTAGCATGCACGCTTATTATATCCTGGGTCGTGCAAGGGGTGAGGCACAAGACGGTCAAATACAAACGTCCTGCCGCCCTCGCGTTTCAATACTTCCCCTTTCCCATCTCCTTCCCCCTCCCCTCCCCTCTCTCGCCGGCCCCCAGCCCCCCTCCCCAGTTCAGAAAGTCACCTTAAACGTTTAGTGACTAGACTGCTGGTAACGGTACGAATGACTTAACTTCACTAATTCACTAGCATTCATTTTGTCTAATCTGCGTCTGTGAAACATTATAAGAAACGGAGTGGCGTTCAAGTTGCTAACAAGTGGAGCCGTGGCAAGTGTATCACACTGCTACAAACTTCGTTTTTAGTTTTCCTTTGTGAAAAATGTAGCAGTAGTGTGGCTGACTCAGGACGGGGTCCCTGCTCGAAGAAACATCCACAGTATGCCGAAGTTTTCTATTGCATAGACCTAAAAAGAATAAAGGACTTTTATCCACTAGGCTGTCTCATGAGTTCTTTTTTTTGTTTTTGACTTTTTACTGTTATAGGTCACATGGTTATCACTTCTGATTAAAATGCAGGTGCTGTGTAATAAAGCAAAGCAAGCTTTATAAGGTGGCATGGAAGTGTTTGCACCAGCTGCAGTACATCATGACCAGGGTAAAGCGGGGCGTGCGGCACGCGACCGCCGGATACGACCCCCCCCCCTTTGGGCCGGACCTCGGCACGACCCCCCCCCCCCATTCCCCACACCCCCCCCCCCCCCTCCTCCCTCCCGAACTCCCAAGCTAGCTCTTGAGCTTCGGATTATGTGCAGACCAGTGCGTCACCTCTGCTTCGCAGAGGCTCGCACTGGCCCCACTGTCTGTACGCCTTACTATTCCCCGCACATTAATGATATTGAAACTCACCGCGCTATGCGGACTATCACGAATAATTTGTAAACAACTATTCATTTCAAAAGCTTTTCCATATTACATCGGTAACTTCGCGTGAATGAAACTTTTTCCAAAAAACAAATGCAGGTTTGGATTGGTTTTCGGACTTTCCATGGCTCCGTTTTCGCCGTAAGATACAGTAATCACCGTGGGCTACAACTCTGTGCAAAAATCTTCTCAAATGATAAGGCAAAATCTTGGCAAATTGAACATTTACGCAACCAATCTTTTTTGGCGCCGTGTCTTGTCATTATTTGTCATTAGTTGAAGATTTACGACATTACATAAAACTCGTATGATGTTCACATGAGTGAGCACTATAAGAGCCGTTGAAAACAGTCGAATAGCCATGAGTAACATTAGTCAAATATCGTTGACCATATAACTTAGATTGCACAAACAATTTCAAAAATACTCTCGCACGGTTTCGTATAAGATCACTGGACGTAAGATTTATGATTTGACGCTCAAAAATGAAGTGAAAAGAAATAAAACGATGAAAAGAAATTGAATAAGGTAACAAACTTCACACCTTGGACTTGCTCAGCTTTCTCAGAATTGGTTCGTCTCCATCTATTGAGCCGCCACCTACAGTTAGCTCACTTCCATCCGAGTCACTTGAGGATGACGACAATTTGCGCACAGATCGACGCGCTCTGAACGATGTGTATTTCAATTCCATTTATGAAATAAGTGAGGACTTTGACAAAAACAATATGTCGGTAAGGAAAGGGAGATGAAGTGAATCAAATCAATGAGGGATTCACACCTGAACTTCTCGGTACATTCCGTAGAATCTTTCGATAAAAAGGACCTGTCGAGAGATGAGCGTGAGGACGTTTCAGAATCAGCCACAGAAGCTAAGCATACAGTGAGTCAAAAACGGATAGATTCAACAAAAGAAGCAGTGTACTTACTGTTCAAGAAACCTGGTCGCAATGGAAATGATGAATGCACTTGGAGAAGCTTGAGTTAGCGGCAAAAATCTTAACGATTGAAATGCACAAAAGACCAAAAATACTTGTTCGGTGATATAAAAGAAACAAAATGTTAATGTCAGGAATGCTTACGGTGATTGACGGTGGAGAAAACTTGATTCCGGAATTTCCTGCTCGCTAATGAATGAGCAATTGGATGGGGCCGGAGAGCAACCTCCGGATGGAAGCTCTTTTTCGAAGACATCTGAACAAGCATTGCATAGTATAAATTCCATACGACTTTAGGGACCCGTCATACTTCGCCTTTCTTGGGCTTTTTCGGGCTTCTTTGGGCTTTTTTTCGGCGAAGTATGACGGGTCCCTCAGTGCTCAAATGTAGCACTGAACCAAGACAACATGAAGGACTTTTTTTCGACATTCGCCTATTTAACAAGGCAACAGGCTACATCATTTGCAAGCAATTGACGCCTCGTTTTTCATCCACATCTTTGTGCATGCGCGTCATTTATTTATGACCGCTTTCTTGCTCATATCACTTGCTTTGCGTTCGAATGTGAGTCTTGCTTGATATCTCCAAGTAGCGCATAGTAGAAACCTTTGTGCATGAGTTCCTTTTTTTCCCTTCTTACCCTGAAGCTGATACTATTTATACTACTTCAAAGCTTATTAATCTCCCAATCTATGATCAGGACACAGGCTATTATCTGTTCTAAAATTAGGATGTCTGTAAGCTCGAACATCTCTCATGAGTTCATTGGAAGGAGATCCATAAGGCTTCGGGCATAGTTCACGCGATTTCATCGCCTCGCGATTCTCCCGACAATACAATTGTCACGAGTTCATTGCCGTGCCGATCAGCTTGCTCGGTTGTGAGATCAGCATGTAATGGACTCATAGTGGTTGTCTTGTTGGGTCAATCGCGAGGCGATAAAACGCGTGATCCTATGCCCGATGCCTACGCGTTACAGCGCAAGCACGAAATCAGTCTCAAGCATGCAAGCCATTCTCAAGTAAAGCTAGTCCCAGAATGGATGCCGTACTAGAGATAAGAAAGGAAGTATAAATCTAAAATATGAGGTCACTCCTACCTCACATGATAAGTACACAAATAAGAAGTAAATGAAAATAAACATGAAAGTAAAAACATAAAGAAACATTAGCGAAAAGGTTAGAACTCACTCTGCGATTCATTTGAAGCTGATCCGATTACGGTACCTCCAGGAGTTGTACCAACACCTGCGGTCTCCTCAGTCATTTTTTACAAATGCCCTTTGCAGGTTATGGCCACAGTAATCAGCACAATCTTACTTGTTCGAAGAGCCCAGTTTGAAGGAATTGTTGCAGGTTTCGTTAGGAACAAACCATTTGTAGCATATAGGCAACAAAAATTCCTGTAAACATCTATAATGAGAGAATATTGGCAAAAACTGAAAAGATTGTTATCTTGAGTGCAACAAGAAAAGGC